CTATATTTTTACTATAAAAATTTTTAAAAAAACATAGTAAAAGTATAGTAAAATAGTAATAATATAGTAGTAGCATAATAGTCAACAGTAGTATGCAGTTAGCTTTGCAAAGTATGTCTAGAGGTCCAGTCCAAAAATTATTAGGCTTCACGTAATTAACGGCAAGGGGTAGCGGCTTAGGTCCATCAGACTCATCAGGGAGTCCAATAAATTTATAATGCTTTATAAGTTGTTCCAGCACAGTTGTTTGAAGCATGGTACCACTGTAAGGGTCGCAATTTGTCTGAACATATGCCTCCGCTTCGTCGTATAATTGGTCCTACCAAAAGAAAAGAAATGTTAACGAAAATATAATAAAATTTTCAATACGAAATATGCTGACCATTTCATCATTAGGGATAAGATCAGGAAATCGTTCTTTTCCACGAAGCCTTGGTGTTATACATGACCAAAGAGTACCCATACCACCTACACTATAGACAGCGGCCGCAGCGGAAAGGTTATCTTCTCCTCTCTGATCCGGATTTTGATTCAGGTGAAGAGTACTGGAAGTTGACGTATTTAAGTTAATGCCACCAAACAGCTGGCCAAAGGCACGATAATTTATAGTTATTGGGTCATGTTATTAATGACAATCGCTGATTTACTCACAGCGGATGTACGTTATAACGGCCACCATTATATCTCAGCATCCGTGAATAATCGGTTATCATCAATAACTATAAATTAAAGTAGTTTAAACTATGTCACCTGCCGAATAAGATTTTTATTTGGCAGACAAATCATAGTAAGTTGCCGGATAACAACAATAACAAACCCGTTTTTAAGTTCTGCTGTTTGGTCAATTGTATCAGGATAAACATACTCGCAAGTGGGAACTGAAAGTGTGTGAAGGTGACCTCTGATAACACTGTTAAACGAGTTAATATCTCTCTGGTATCGGAATGCACTCCTGAGATGTAAACCCGGAAGATCCGACTCCTTAGAGCCTGCCTCTAGCATAACAACTTTGTAGTTAGCCTCGATCAACTTGCGAGCGAAGGTGCATCCAACTGGTCCAGATCCAATAATCGCAACATCGTAGTTATCGCAGTCATCAAACATTGTGTTGATGGAAAACAAAATTATAAAGACGGATAAATTAGAGATAACTTAATGCAATACAAGTTACACAGATTATCAAGCAATAATACTGATTGTCGATGAGCTGATAATTGCATAGCGATAGGTACTACAAATATCTGTATGGTATGGTCATAGTCGGACATTCGTTTGATTGGCTGATGTAAATCAATTGTCCGGGTAACTTATTTATACACTTTAAAGTACTTTTTTTGGAACGTAACGTTTCACTAATAAAAAATCACTGCAAATGCCATTTTTCACTTCGAAAGAACGTTTATATTCACTATACAAAAATAATCAGAAATAATCAGTAACCCCGAGAACTTTACTTAGAAGACAAAGTATGCCTACCGTTTATTGGACCATATTGTAAAGTGGAATCATTTTCGTCTAAAGCTATTTTATTACGTTAGATTTAGATAAACTTTTACTTTTAACTGTTTAATTTGAATAGATACAAGCTCTTAACAGTAGAAGATCCGGGCTTAATATTTAAATTTGGTCGGTTCTTGTAGTGCATTTAGGGTTATCAACCGTACGTAGATTCTTTAATAAGTTTGGGTTATTATTAATAAATATCAAATTTCCACACTTTACGCGTATCTATCTATTCTCTAAATATAAGTAATTCATTCTTTTGTGTGTATTTATTAGTTTGTAAGCTTCTTTATTCGAAGTTTTGTTTCGTTTTCTAATACTGTAGTATTAATAAAATTATGTATTTTGATTGGTTAATTATCACGAGCAATCACGGGTAGATCTACCAAAATTAACCAATCATATGAATGTCTTACTATGAATGGTATGGGGTGTATTAAAAACCATACCGATACCATAAGCATATGGGGTAAGTCAATAAGGTCCTTTTTAACGAAAAGTCTGATTGGATCGGATTCTGATCTCAACCGTCGGATCAGTTTTGGCCCTGAAAATTCGGATTGGGCCTAATTTTAAAATTAGGTTTCATAGACAGAAATTCGTCTGATTGGCTGGCGTAAATCAATTGCCCGGGTAACTTATTTATGTACTTTAAAGTACTTTTTGAGAACGTAAAATTACACAAGCAAAAAATCAACATAAACATTATTTCTAGCTTCAAAAAAGTTAATTCTAAAATTAATCTTTTATTCAGAGAAGTTAGCTTAGACACGACTTTCTGAAAAAGGTAAAGAAAAAAAGCAACGTCTGGATTTTAAAATGCGCAAAAACAAAAAAGTTACTAACAAAACAGTTGTCTTTTTTTTTTAGAGATTGAGATTTCAATATAGGTATTTGAAGCAAGACAAGCTTATTTATGTAAGAGATCTGTATTGTGTATTTAAGATATTCTTAAGTTGGTTTAATTTTGTTAAAGCGTTCTTAGGTTTATTAATTATAGATATGAATCTGGGTTTATAGATTGTAAGTTTAGTGATTCGGGTTTTGCTTTAGTAAGCATAGCGGGCTTTTATTGTGATTGGCTGATTTTTGAAGATCATCTTATCATAATAAAGTCTTATTAAAGTAACG